TTTGGTCAAATCTGATGTCAACTTCCTGTTCGTCTGTGAGTCTGTCTTTTTCTTACATAACAATTTTTTTGTCACTGTTTTCATAGCAACTACTCATCACTGATGCTTGAAATTTAAACACAATCTTCTCTGAGTCATGCCATATGGTGGGATACATTTTTGGTCAAATCTGATGTCAACTTCCTGTTTGTCTGTGCGTCTGTCCATTTCATATGTAACAAATTTTTCGTCACAGTTTTCTTAGCAACTACTCATCGCAGATGCTTGAAATTTTAACGCTATCTTCTATGAGGCATGCCATACGGTGGGATACATTTTTGGTCAAATCTGATGTCAACTTCCTGTTTGTCTGTGTGTCTGTCTGTTTCTTGCATAACAATTTTTTGTCACCTTTTTCTCAGCAACTACTCATCACAGATGCTTGAAATTTAAACACAATCTTCTCTGAGTCATGCCATATGGTGGGATACCTTTTTGGTCAAATTGAATATTAACTTCCTGTTTGTCTGTGCCACTGTCTGTCTCATATATAACAATTTTTTTGTCACAGTTTTCTCAGCAACAACTCATCGCAGATGCTTGCAATTTTAATTACAATCTTCTCTAAGGCATGTCATACGGTGGGATACATTTTTGATAAAAAGGGGTGTCAACTTCCTGTTTGTTTGTGCGTCTGTCCGTTTCATACATAACAAATTTTTCGTCACAGTTTTCTCATCAACTAATCATAGCAGATGCTTGAAATTTTAGTACACTCTTTGTTGAGGCATGCCATTTGGTGGGTTTAATTTTGATATGAATCTGATGTCAACTTCCTGTTTGTCTGTGCATCTGTCCGTAATGGAACTTGTGTATATGAACATGATAGTGTTTATTCACATCAGAGCGGGGGTATTCCTACTGAGCATTGGCTCACAGATTTCTTGTTTATCTTTTGTATAAAATATCAGTGTATTTATTTGCACAGCTTTTAGCAGTATTTTTGACAACCATATTACCACTGAAAAGTTCGACAATTTTACCTTTCATCGATTTACTTTATACAATTTGAAAACTTTACCATTTTAATCCTCTTACGTTTACGTATATCGTACACCACTCGGAAGATCTCTTCTGGTTTTTACCTGTTTCTAAAAAAGGTTGCCAGCGACTAAATTTATATAGAATGACGACTTCCATTCAGAAACATTTGAAACGGCAGTTCAGTGATGAAAACTATGAAAGTAGAACCTCTAGATTTAGCGCAAAGCCACAAATGAGCACTGCACCTAATTGATTAATAACATGTGAAAGTACACCGATCATCATTTGCAGATGGTAAGTTCTTTTCGGTGAAATAATGTTGGGATTTCCTACCGAGGTGACGATTTTTAAAAAATGGCGTCTGCAGAAGTTTCTTCCAGACCTGTTTACTCTTACGGTTTCACCGTATTTTGTATGGTTTTTAATCAAAAATACGTCTCACATTTTGTAAATATGAAAATACGGAAATCGAAAAGACGTTTGTCTGGAGTTTAGCAGTCAATTTTAGTTATTATTTGTCTTAGTTTCACGCTTTTTATTCGCTAAAAAGAGAAAGATTTCAAACACATAAGTGATGTGGCGTTGCCAAAACACTGTGATATAAAATAACAGACCATGGGCTCGTAACATAAAGCTTGCTAAGTTTTTGACTTAAGTAGGGTCGTAGGTACGTTTTAGGTACGATCTTAGGACCTGTCTAAGTACTACTTAAATATGTCTTAAACCATAACTTATGTTAAAAATATTTCATATGAGTCAACCTATGGTTTTTGATTTTATATAGATATATTGCTAAAAGTGATTCAGTTAAGGTTTTAATTTATTACATATTGAAGTTGACGTCCTTACCTATTGGTTTAAGTTATGATAGATTAGATTTCATATCAAAATTATAATTATGTTATAAATTAATCGGAATGTTTGGAAACAAATACCGCAGGGTCAGAATGTGGCGATTTGTGGTTCATTGTAAATTTATGACAATTGTTTTATCACCTGAAATGTTTTCAGTTTACCTTTTGTAACTCTTTTGTTTTGACAAATGTTCACTTACCCTGTTATTATCGCAGACAAGAAAAGATAATCGACCATCTATCTACTTAGAATTGAAACTCTAAAGTTAGAAGCAAAAACTTGCAGAAGTTTTATGATATATTCATTTGCAATTTAATCAAGCATACAAAAAAAAAAAAAAAAAAAAAAAATTGGGAGATTTTTTACGTATGTCTCCACTTATCAGCAATTCTCTCTCTCTCTCTCTCTCTCTCTCTCTCTCTCTCGAACTGTAGTGAGCCCTGTCTAAATCGGCACTTGTCACGTTCTATAGATACATGGTTTATTACTGTGTTCAATTTATTTCTATAGCCGAGGTCCCACTAATTTCAGATGTATTCCTAAAATACAATTTTGTATTTACATGTATGCTGTGTTGGGAGTGATATTGGAATCAGTGATCAGCAACCCCCCCCCCCCCCAACGAAAAAATAAAATTCTTAAATCAGCGTCAAATAGAGATAATTATTTTCTTTAATGCATTATATGAATAGAGGAATATTTTAACATCGAAAGTCAACATTAAAGAATTCTAAATATATGTACAAGAAAGTTAAGATATACTTAAGTCACCTCTACCGGCCGCCTAAGTTTTGCTAGGATTAGCAAATCTTAGCACGCTTCTAGTTACGGTCTTAAGTTTTAAACTGTACTTAAGTCCTACTTAAGCACGATCTTAGACTTAATTAGCCTTTATGTTACGACCCCCATATTATTAAACCATGATTAGTAATCAAGAAAGCAGTTGCTCTCTATTTTTATAAACAAAATCATTGAAAAGGGAAATCTTACTGGTAAATGCCAAATCTCACGGACAAATCTAGTCAAAAATACTGAGAGACAACAATAAAACAGGTCTGTTCTTCTGTTTTAGTATCAGAGAGTATGGATTTTTATAAAAGGCTAGTTTTAGCATAAATTTTGGATTTTTAGTAGTAATACTTTGTGAATATGTCATAGAAATATATTTTAATCAAAAAGAACCCTTGGAGTACGGAACACGGAAAGGGGGAGGGGGGGGGGGGGTCCCGTCCCCAAGCACCTGTGTTCACTATAACTGCGATACTGCTCTTTTGCAGGGCAAAATGATACAGTTTGGTGAAATATGATGTAAAAGTAATTGTTAAGTATACGTCATTAAATTATCTATCAACAAAAACTCTGCCAAACGTTATTAATTTGACCTGCAGAAGAGCAGTACCGCAGTTACCTTGAAGGGGCTAGAATGGACACACACAATCCATGGTGTAGTAATACCGAACAATAATGCATACACATAAGTCTTACTCTACACATTCAAGTTCCAAAACATTTCGTCAAATAAAACATAATTAAATGACAATACTGCAATAAAATAACATTTAAGTATCAGTTATAATCATTTGAGGATACGCACAGTGTTATTTCGATCTTATCAATTGTAAAATGGCAGTGTTATTGTCACATGACTATTTTCTTCGTAAGAAAGATGGCAGGGGCCCAATTTACAATGCATGTGACAATGCTGAAATAAGTAAGTAAATTACTGTCGTAATATGGTAGATAATGGTGAAAAACTGACATATAACATCTAAGTATCGCTGTCCCTTACTGTCTGTTTAACACGATCTAGTAACACAAAAACAGCATTTGTTTACATAACAATGTCGAAGTGCATGCAGTGTGTATTGCATCAAATCAAGCAAACAATAAGATTATGAAATAACATGAACAATAAAACATCTCTAATAAATGTTGCCGTTCAGGGATTTTCTCCCTTGAGACAACTTGTGGTTCTCCCAATTCTGTATATTGGACAAAAGAACTATGAGTCAGGATTAAAGTTTATAAAAATTTATTATTGCTTGTTGTATTTAATTTGCAGGATCTCTTTGAATGTTTATCCCTATTTCTTACTCCCGCAGAAATATTATTTCTCTCCCAGAATGGGAATAAAATACTCTTAAACGGGAGAATTATGTTTTAGGGAATAATTAATAGTATAAATTTACAAAAGCATAAAATTATTTATCTTTTCCCAAAATATAGGGAGTTCTTTGCAATACAATTATATTATGATCATATATAATTATGGGAGAGTTATTTTACCTCCCACTAATTTTCTCCCACAGGCTAATTCAATATAAATAGTAAAAAGTAATAATAAAATATGTTACAAAATTCATCAGCTCCCCAAAATTAATTAATTAATTATGTAATGATAATTACCCAATGACTATCGCTCCCAGCCATGATGGCGATACGATGATAGCAGTCGTACTTAACCTATTCTGACTGTCAGTCGATTTGCGCTGGCTTATATTGGCATCGGGCTCAATTGTCGTGATGTCACGACAAAGTGAAAATACCCGCCATGCTTGTTAGTTGATATGCTGCCATGCCGATCGAACCGACGAAAGGAAACACGCACCCATTATTATGGGAAACATTCATAATACTTATCGCTGATGGACTTTGTAAGCATAAACAAAACAATCAGAAACAGTTTAAGCGTGACTTGGGAATGTAAGATGTCGAGGAAATTCGGGCGTCACGAATATTGGCATCGGGCAGATTATGTACCTTACATAATCTGCTAGTCCGACACAATTTTTACTAGTCTCGGACTTACGGACATGAGTTAATTTCGAACCCTGGTGATGTTAATGAAGTACAAACAAATGCCAATGGCTAGAATTTTTCTCAGCTCAAGGTTCTTTAATTTCATAGCAGTTGTTGATTCTAAGATTCTTGAGCTTGTGGGATATTCATTTGATAACTATGTAAATTGATTGACCTACTGGTATATTAAATTGGATAATGTCACAGTATATTGGCTTACACAGCCAATCTGTGTATACTTGACTATTAGTAGAGTTTATCATAAAACTTGTAATCTTACTTAGAAATAACCAACGAATCCTATTTTTTTTTTTGTCTTATAGGTATTCCTCTGTTCAACATCACAGGAGTATCAGATCTTTATTTTATGGAGAATCATGATGGCTTTGAACTTGAAAAAACAGAGAATCAATCAATTTGGTTAATAAAAGCAAATCGTAGTTTTGACTTTGAATCATTACCAGTAAGTACATTTATAATATGTCTGTATCAAATACGTAGTTGTACTTGCAGGAAATGAATAGAATCCCCATTTTCATATGTCTGCCTTATTTTTACTTGGTGCAGACTGATCTCCTGCAAGATTTTTAACTGTATGGTTTTCTCAGGTAAGGGGAGGGACTAAATTTTACATGCTTCGCACCACAAGGCATTGACTGTCGTGCACTCATGGAGAACGCTAATCCCTATACACAAAAGGTATACACAGTAAGTTCATGAGTATTACCTGTATAGCCTGTTTGGCCTAGTCTTTTCATCATAAAATTAGTAGATCTCCATATCGTAAATCAAAAATATCATTAGTAATAAATTATCTTTGCAAAATTACATAATTTTCAGATTTGTATCTAATATCAAACAAGCAAAAATCCCCAAACAAGCAGAAATCCAATTTGCTGGCTTTTGTAAAAGATTACGTACCTTACATCGTATGTCACAACACCAATTAGTTGAGTTCATTGTAAAAAAAAATTCAAGAAATACATGTACAATTTCAAATGTAAAATATTCATCCTTGCCTGTCCCTTTCTACATTTTAAGAAGTGTTTATAATTATCGTAAATATAGTAGCATAGAGCTTCAATCATGGTTAAAAGTAACAGTTACTTCCCGTTTGTATGAAAAGTCGCTTGGTCCTTTGAGGGACATTTCAAAAGTTCTGGCAACTGTTTAATAAAAAATGTTTAGAATACTGACCATAAAAATGATATGTAACAGAAGACACAATTTGATCAAATTAAAATTTTCAAGACAACTTTTGCTCATTACTCAGATACAAGCCAACAGACGCAAATTCCAGTTGGCGGAATGTTTACATAGACTCCAATCTATCACATGGTGCTCTATTTCGGAGATCTTGTTCTGAAATGGTTTAAGCGAGTGTCAAACTTAGCATATGTTTTTATCAAATCTCGCTCAAACTATTGCGAAAGAGACATAACTGTGAGAAAAAGACAAAATTTGACAATCGAAGAAAAATAGGCAATCGTGTTACAAAATTTGATGGCATAAATTTGTCATTTTTTGTCATTTGAGTTTTGGGGCGCCGAAGTTGAATTAATATGAAAAAATTATGCACAGAATCAAGTCAAGGACAAGATTTAGTACATTTTATTCAAAAACGGTAAGAGTCCTGGATTCGGTTGCACAAACGTTAGTTAAATTTCACTAGCCATTAAATTTACGTTAATGCGGCATTAAATTTAACGGCGAGTTAATTGGGTTGCACGAAAGTTAACTGACAGTTAAACGTTAGTTAAACTTCTCTTTTAACTGATAGATTTAATTGAGGTATACAAGATACTCAAAATATATTATTTGATAAAAACTGCATTAATATACTTAAGTTTGATACAGGACATGTTTTACTTCAAACAATGGAGTGCCTTTGGCAGCACTTTACGATCATGTCATGTGGATAAAAACGCTTTTTTTCAGTATTCTAAACATTCTATATTCTGGCGTCATCTTCGGAGTTATTACATCAAAATTATAAAGTGACGTCTCAATATGTGTGTATTATTCTGATCTTTCCAATGATATCAAACTCAATAGTTTCTGTAAAACGGTTTTAATTTTCAATTAACTTTTGAAAGGCCCCTCGTATTTTCAGCAAAGGTGTCCTATTCATTGTGAGAAATTTGCAATGAAGATGGTTTCAAGAAGTTAAATATCACACAAGTGTGTGTGAATTTTAAGTTAATAACATTTATGATATATAATAAAAACAAAATATTGTTATTGCTAACTTATGTATTTCTCTCGAAAGTAATTCTAACACCTGTGACCTTGATTGGAGGTAACAAGCCACAAAGCAAGAAATGCGCTGTTATAAAAAATGAAAAGAAAAGAGAGAAAGTCTTAATACTTGTCCAGGCTAAGTTGTTTCTAATAAGATATTTTGCTTTTATCCTTACTATTCCAGCTTATATTGTATTTCTCCTTTATTCTCCTCATAATTTTTTTGCCACATCTCTAACGAAGAATCTTTTACAAGTGAGGACAAGATTTCAATCACTTATGCACTTTTAAATCATAAAAAATACACAATCTTGATTAATTTTACTGAAAGACTGTGAGAAAAATTTTCAATGACGTGTTTGTAATTTAGATAATTATTATCAATTATAATCAAGCTAAACTTGTTTGCATCAAATTGGCTTCCTAATTGTGCTAGTAATTTAGCGGTAAACATCAGAAGACTGAAAGTTAATTTGAAGGTGGCCATGAGTGTTAAACAAGGTGAGAGAGTTATATTGATTGATTGATTGTGTATTGTTTAACGTCCCTCTTGAGAAATTTTCACTCATATGTAGACGTCGCCGTATGCTTGTGAAGGGCTTCAAATTTAGACCTGTACTCGGCACTCAGGGCCATTGAGCAGTGAGGGATCTTTATTGTGCCGCCTGCCGCTGACAAGGGGCCTGGGTTTTTAAGGTCTCATCCAAAGGACCCGCAACCTTTACTTCCAAGTGCCGAGCGTATGGTGAAGGAACAGTTGTTACCTTTTTTTTTATCGACTTAGGCCAGTCACGGCCGAGATTTGAACTCACGACCTCCAGATCACGAACTGCTTGCTCTACAAACTGAGCTACCATGAACGATGAGAGAGCTACACACAGGGACAAGTACCGTACATGTATATACTCGTTTATAAGTCGGTCCGCCTATAAGTCGGTTGTATTTAATAAGCTTAATATCATAGGGCCTTATCTCATATAATACCATTTATTTTATAGCTCGCCTATAAGTCGGACATATAGTTTTGGACCAGAAATTAACTCCCAAAAATCCGACTTATAGGCGAGTATATACAGTAGCTAAATGTCAATCAATTTTAAGTACCCAATGATGGACCTTAATTCATTTGACTGACAGGGGAATACAGATCGTGTAAATCTGAAGGCGGTGCATATTATCTCGGGAATTGTCCAATCAGAGGCTTTAACTCTAGCTGAAAGTTCCAGACATAATTTTTAGCTCACCTGAGCTGAAAGCTCAAGTGAGCTTTTCTGATCACATTTTGTCCGGCGTCTGTCTGTCTGTCTAGCTGTCCATCTGTCTGTAAACCTTTTCACATTTTCGACTTCTTCTCAAGAACCGCTGGGCCAATTTCAACCAAACTTGCCACAAAGTATCCTTGGGTGAAGGGGACGCAAGTTTGTTCAAATGAAGGGCCACGCCCTCATTCAAGAGGAGATAATTGGGAATTAATGAAAATTTGGTGGCATATTTCAAAAATCTTCTTCTCAAGAACCACTGTGCCAGGAAAGATGAAACTTATGGGGAAAAATCCTCAGGTAGTGTAGACTCAAGTTTGTTCAAATCATGACCCCCAGGGGTAGGGTTAGGCCAAAATGGCCGACCAAAGTTTTTCATAGAAATATATAGGAAAATTCTTTAAAAATCTTCTTCTCAAATATGACAAAGCCATAATTCATCATATTTATATGGAAGCATGCTCAGATAGTGTAGACTCAAGTTTCTTCAAATCATGACCCCCAGGGGTAGGACGGGGCCAAAATGGCCGACCATAGTTTTACAAAGAAATATATAGGAAAATTCTTTAAAAATCTTCTTCTCAAGAATGACAAAGCCATAATTCATCATATTTATGTGGAAGCATGCTCAGGTAGTGTAGATTCAAGTTTGTTCAAATCATGACCCTCGGGGGTAGGGCGAGGCCAAAGTGGCCGACCAAAGTTTTACATAGAAATATATAAGAAAATTCTTTAATAATCTTCTTCTCAAGAATGACAAAGCCATAATTCATCATATTTATATGGAAGCATGCACAGGTAGTGTAGTTTCAAGTTTGTTCAAATCATGACACCCTGGGGTAGGGTGGGGCCAAAATGGCCGACCAAAATTTTACATAGAAATATATAGGAAAATTCTATAAAAATCTTCTTCTCAAGAATGACAAAGCCATAATTCATCATATTTATATGGAAGCATGCTCAGATAGTGTAGATTCAAGTTTGTTCAAATTATGACCCCCAGGGGTAGGGCGGGGCCAAAATGGCCAACCAAAGTTTTACATAGAAATATATTATAGGAAAATTCTTTAAAAATCTTCTTCTCAAGAATAACAAAGCCATAATTCATCATATTTATATGGAAGCATGCTCAGGTAGTGTAGTTTCAAATTTGTTCAAATCATGACCCCCAGGGGTAGGGCGGGGCCAAAATGGCCGACCAAAGTTTTACATAGAAATATATAGGAAAATTCTTTAAAAATCTTCTTCTCAAGAATGACAAAGCCATAATTCATCATATTTATATGGAAGCATGCTCATGTTCAAATCATGGCCCCCAGGGGTAGGGCGGGGCCAAAATGGCCGACCAAAGTTTTTAAAGATATATATTGGAAAATTCTTTAAAATCATATTCTAAAAAATAGCAAATCCATGATTGGTCATGGATTTAAACTTTACAATAAAAAGCCATTTTCTACTTTTTCCTACCCTTAGTGCTCATGTGAGCCATGTGGCCCATGGGCCTCTTGTTTCTATTTTTAGGTCACCTGAGTAAACTCGTCCATCATCGTGCGTCATTCGTCGTGCATTAACATTTGAACATTTTTAGCTTCTTCTCTGAAACCACCGGTCACGGTAGCCTAGTGGTAGAGCGTTCGCTTTGTGATCGGGAGGCCCGGGTTCGATTCTCGATCGCGGCGCCACGTCATACCTAAGACGTAAACATAGGTAGTGACTGTTCCTTCGCCAAGCGCTCGGCACTAGAAGTGAAAGTCACGGGTCTTTCGGATATGACCTTAAAAACGTAGGTCCCGTGTCACGGTAGGCGTTGGCATGATAAAGAACCCTCACTGCTCAATGGCCCTGAGTGCCGAGTATAGGTCTAAATTTGAAGCCCTTCACCGGCATCGGTGACGTCTCCATATAAGTGAAAAATTCTCAAGAGGGACGTTAAACAATATACAATCAATCAGTCAATCTTCTCTGAAACCACTGAACCAATTTCAACCAAATTTGGCATGTAGCATCTATGGGTGAGGGGGAACAAAAATTGTGAATTTCATGGTCCGTGCTCCCCTGGGGCCTGAGGGGTGGGGCAAAAACCACTAAAATTAGTGCAATATTTAAAAATCTTCTTCTCTACTCCTGGACACCAAGCAGTCAAACTGTTTGCATGATTGTAATCAGCATTGAGTTCTCTACCAAAATTGTGAAATTCATGGCCCCAGGGTCAGGGGTTCTAGTGGAAGGGCGGGGCTAAATAAGTATATAGTGAAAATGCAATATTTCTTTGAAAATCTTCTTCTCTGCTCCTGGTTATTAAATAAACAAACTAAGTACATAGTTATGATGAGCAAGAGTGCTTCTACCAAAATTGTGAATTTTATGGCCCCAGGGTCAGGGGTTCTGGTGTTGGGGGGGGGGGGGCTCTATTGATTATATAGTGAAAATACATGAATTCTTTGAAAGTCTTCTTCTCTGCTCCTAGGTATTAAATAAACTAACTAAGTGCATGGTTATGATGAGTAAGAGTTCCTTTACCAAAAGTGTGAATTTTAGGACCTCAAGGTCAGGGGTTCTGGTGTTGGAGGGGGGGGGGGGGGGCTCTATTGATTATATAGTGAAAATACATGAATTCTTTGAAAATCTTCTTCTCTATTCCTAGGTATTAAATAAACTAACTAAGTGCATAGTTATGATGAGCAAGAGTGCCTCTACTAAACTTGTGAATTTAAAAGCCCTAGGGTCATAGGTTCTTGTGTTGGAGGGGGGGGGGGAGGCTCTATTGATTATATAGTGAAAATACATGAATTCTTTAAAAATCTTCTTCTCTGCTCCTGAGTATTAAATAGATTAACTAAGTGCATAGTTATGATGAGTAAGAGTTCCTTTACCAAAATTGTGAATTTTAGGACCTCATTGTCAGGGGTTCTGGTGTTGGAGGGGGGGGGACTCTATTGATTATATAGTGAAAATACATGAATTCTTTGAAAATCTTCTTCTCTGCTCCTAGGTATTAAATAAACTAAGTGCATCAATATGATGATCAAGAGTGCCTGTACCAAAATTGTGAATTTTATGGCCCCAGGGTCAGGGGTTCTGGTGTTAGGGTGGGGCTCTATTGATTGTATAGTGAAAATACATGAATTACAAATAAAAGTTCCAATAAAATAAAATCTTGAAGCGAGGGATAGTGTCAAAACCGGAAGTGCTATTGATAAAGCATCTACCCATTGATAAAGCATAAGTTTATCCAACGGCTTGTATCACCAACACGTATGAGATAAAACCCAAATAACAAGAAGTCACATTGCATTGTAGTACGTAATTATCGATAGATTGAGACACACTCTGATGCTTACAAAGCATTCTTATAGGTACAAAGGAAATAAATTCGTTATCCAGGTTCAATCAATGGTGTATGGAGATTTACCCCGGGCTGTATTCCATACACCCTGAGGCCGAAGGGTGTATGGAATACAGCCCATGGTAAAGCCCTGTACACCCTTGATTGAACCTGGATAACTAATAGTATTTCACTGTTCAAAATGTGATAAATGAGTATTCTTTGTATTTGCACAGTGATTAATTCTTTTATCTTACCCTTCTGGTATTTGCAGTAAATGTTTTATGAATTGTGATTTTCTATTTCATTTAGAAACAACAAAATATTGGGTTTAAAGTTCAATGCGAAGACTCTGTAAGTATACTCACATGTTTTGGAGAAAGTTTCATTATTCTGTGGACGTCCACATAAGAAACAGAGAAATCCTTAATGGAAAATACATAGAAATATGATTATTAAGATATGAAGCAAAGTACTAATAGCTACATTGATTAATGGATTTTAAAAAGCATACAATCATAACACTTCCGACAATATTAATAAGTTATTACAAACTATAATGGATGCTTGTGCTAAACACACACAGGATACTTTGAAATACCAAAGTGCCAATGGAGTATTAAATAATATTCTTTTTATGTCATTTATCTATTAATATTAATTTCCAGGAAGGAAGTAATAGTTACACAGTGACAATTCAAGTTACCAATCAATATGAACATGTTGATATTGCATTAAAAGCAATAAAAACCAGCTTTGACATTTCTAGTACTGTTTCACCTGTTACAGTCAGTGTTCCAGAGGTAGGTTGAGACTTTATATTAAAATTATTTACTAGATGTGAGGAAGATGATTTTTAGCTCTTCTGAGCCAAAGGTTCAAAGAGCTAATGCTATGACCATTTTGCAGTGTACGTAAACCTTTTAGAATATGACCCATAACTCAAGAAACCCTTGGCCAATCATTGTCAAATTTCACAGGGAATCCTTGGCCCAAGGGCTGCCATTTATACTAAAACTAGGGTTGGTACCCTTAACAAGGGGAGATAATCAGGAAAATAAAACCCAAAGTACAGGTTGCTAAAGAATCTTCTTCTCCAGAACCCACCAGGCAGATTTTCACCAGACTATAGTGAAAATTATTTCATCAAAATCCAAGACAAGCCGTTTCTAAGATTTTTTGTTGCCTACAGAGAATGCATGTTAATACCTAGGGATTGGGTAGTGCTACAATAAGTAATCAAAGTTTAAAATTAAAAATATGTACTGTAAAAGCACAAATATTCGTGGGGGATTTAATTTCGTTTATTTCTTGTCAACAATTATCCACGAAATTAAATTCCACACGAAATTTTAAATATCTATATACTGAATAGGTTTACTTTCAAAACAATGAAATTAAATGCCCATGAAACTACTTTTGATGACAAATTAACGAAATTTTATCCCCAGGAATATTTGTGCTTCTACAGTATTAAAAAATTGCCTCAACAAGAATGCAAATGCATTATTAGTCATATTTATGGCATGCCAAATTCACTAAAATGAGCTAAACATATAGTTTTACAGTTGATAAACTAGATTTAACAACACAAACCATGAACTATAGTTAAAATTCATCAACTATAGTTTTCATCTGTAAAACAACATTTAACGGTTGTAAACTATAGTTTACAAATGCTAATCTCCAAACCGGTCCATCTGGAAACCGGTTTTCCCTGAACATCGGCGTAATTCATAAGTCCCGGCAAAATTCTTAACATTTCTTTACACATAAACTCTCGTAAAACCGGCCACCCCTGAAAACCGGACACCGGCCACTTTTCCAAGAACAAAAGTTAAGAAACGTAGGAAATATCCCCTCATCATACCAGCCACTTTTTGATTGCAAGAGATTTTACTGTCATTGGCCAGAGGGGTAATAATGACCGGCCGGAGGTGTGAAAAATAGCCTACCCATGCTTTATGCTTTAGCGGGAACATTATGCTATTTACAATGTTGGGGTACGCAGATATCTTTTAAGAAAATTACTAACAGGAGAAAACTCTCTAATTATTTATTTATCTCCATTGGCTTTTCAAAAGTCGGAACCTTCAACAGTGAATAATTTCTTTGATTCGCAAGTGTGGAATACGGACAAAAATTATGATCGCAAGTGTGGAATACGGACGGTAAATAAGTTGCAACAGGATATTAAAAGTGGCATCAATTAAGTATTATTTCAATTCACAAAATGGCGTTAGTTACTCATTTTCACATGCATGGCGTGTTTCGGGACCTGACAGAGACATCCAGACCCCTTGTTTGAAGATCTCGGAACAAACACATTCACGTGCGATCATGCGTGATGGGTACAACATCCGCTTAAACAAGTAATATGAACGACAATAATTCAGCCATGAATGACAGGACTTTTGCAGCATACATGTATACCCATTACCTCATGTATAACAATAATATGTTTCTAAGCAAACAGATAAAATTCAAATAGCATTAAATTGTGTTGATAATTTGTATGAATTTAACGGCAGAGAGTAATAGATTATTTCTATCAGATTTTTTTATGTAACGGTATAATTTGTTGTTTTCACTGTACAGATGATAATTGGGGTTTGGACACTTCAATTGTTTGAGAATTTACACCTGATTATCATCCTATGGCTTTGGGGGGTATATCGCTGATTGGTATATGCACTGCGTTGACAGATCTACGTGTTGTTTGTTTATCTCCGTGCAAAACGTTTTAATAAAAAAATTCAGATAATTATTTAAAATTATTTCCTCATATTTTAAAATAATTATTTTAAAAAGGAAAAATAGGTCTTTAAAGTCGATCTGTTGAGGAAAAAACGGGGTAGGGCTATTTAATATATATTAACGAAAGTCGGAATGGGCTTTTCAAAGGTTTATCGTGAATCAAACCGACCACCCCTCTAGTCCGGCCATTGTATTCAGTCCGGCAGCTGGCCGGTTTAGAGAAGTTTTACTGTATCAGATCGTTAACAGTTAAGACTTGTAAATTGTAGTTTACCAATCGTAAAACTGTGTTTATTAGACAATCTATGTTTTGCGATTGTTTTCATTGTTAAGTATAGTTTACGGTTCTGAAACACAGATTATCACATTAACTATGGTTTACAGATGTAAAATATAGATTTAACATTGTTAACTATAGTTTACAACGGATAAACCTAGTTTATGGACTGTGAAACTATGTTTAACTCATTTTTGTGAATTTGGCGTGCCATACATATTGATATAGACACATCCTCAGATTGTTCAAAACATGATCCCCAGGGGTTTGGTGGGGCCACAATATACTGCTATATTAAAAAGTTTTCACAAGAACAGCTGAAAAACATAAAGAGTTATATGGGGCATATTGCATATCTTTTCCCCCACAAGAGTCAAATTTTGAAAAAAAATTCTTGAAATGTGCTGAATTCTATAAATTGTGTAAGAAATATAAATTAACGGAACATATTATAGTTTCAAAGTAGTTAATTGACAATTTTTAGCTCTCCTGAGCCGAATGCTCAAGTGAGCTTTTCTGATCACATTTTGTACGTCGTCCGTCTGTCTAGCTGTCTGTCCATCCATCTGTCTGTCCATCTGTAAACTTTTCACATTTTTGACTTCTTCTCAAGAACCGCTGGGCCAATTTTGACAAAACGTTGTACAAAGCATTCTTGGGAAAAGGGAAATTTACAATATTAAAATGAAGGGCCAAGTCCCCTCACAAGGGGAGATAATCAAGAAAAGACAAAAATAGGGTGGAGTTATTAAAAAATCTTCTTCTCAAGAACCACTTGGCCAGAAAAGCTGAAACTTATGCCTTGTTCACACGGAGAGTTTAATTCAAATTAAACATAAAGTTAATGTGAATTAGCTCTGCTTAGCATTCACACAGAGAATTTAATGTGAATTTGTTTAATTCGAATTAGTTTACTGCGCATTAAATTACTTTGCATTAGCTCCGTGTGAACGCTAAGGGAAGCTAATTCGGATTAAATTTTGAGGCATGCGTAATGGCAAAATCTAGTCAAATGCCACTTGTTGGTACAGGTCAGTTTGAAGTATTTGTGCTATTTTTGAGTGAAAAACTATGGAAAATTGTGTTAATCACTAGAATATGTGTACAGACACTGTAACATTATGTCAAATGCATATGCTCCTGCATAAGGTGACATGATTTGCAAATGACGTCATAATAGCCTTTCTGACACCTGGCCGTAGAAATAGAATTTTAAATCGCATTAGTTTACTTCGCATTAGCTGTCATGTGAACGCAATTTAATTTGCATTATTTTGATTCACATTAATTTACTTCGCATCAATTTATTGCGAATTATACTCGCCAAGTGAACAGGGCATTATGTGGAAGCATCCTGGGGTAGTGTAGATTCTAAATTGTTCATATCATGACCCTAGGGGTTGGGCAAGGCCACAATGGGGAATCAAAGTTTTACACAGAAATATATAGGAAAAATCTTCTTCGCTAGAACCACTTGGCCAGAAAAGCTGAAACTTATGTGGAAGCTTCCTGAGATAGTGTACGTAGATTTCAAATTGTTAAAATTATGATCATTTGGGTCACATAATATACATGTATTACAAGGGAAATCTGGTAAAAACCAGCATGGTCAAAGCCTCTCAGGTGAGGGATGTGGCCCATGGGCCTCTTGTTGCTTTTATGACGTCACAAACTAGTCTGATTTTATATCATTTTTTAGAAAAAAAGACAAAATTGACAAAAATTCGACAATTTTAGCTTCAAGTTATATAGAGCGCAAGTTTGCTCACTGACAGGAACAATATTTACACATTTTATTGATATTATTATTCTACACATAAAATCAAAATATTTAGCCTGCGCTCGATGAATTTTACTCAAAATATTGTCATTTTTATGTAGAAATCATTGAAATTTTAAATTTACATCATTTTAGTGACATCATTTCAAACATATGACATCATTGCTTATGAAAATATTCAGTGCTTTGAATTCAGCATATAGATAGTTTTCGATAGGCCTGAATTTAGCGAAAGTTACCTCCCGTTGGCCGCCATATTGGAGGTCGACTCAGTGATTTTCCCTCTTTGTCTTACCAAGTTTAAGAAAATATAGCAGAAATATTTGGTGGAAAATCTTTATCAAATAATTTTTTTTAAATAAAGGGGGCTTCCAAAAATTTATATACTTCAGAAAAATAATGATTTCTAATTCAAAATAGCAAATATAAAAATTTTAAATTGGTTGAACAATAAAGGAATATGATCATTTGGACCTCCAGTATGACGGCCAACGGGAAGTAACTCTTGGTCAATCGAAAACTATCTATATCCTCCTGTTTAAGAACATAATTAAATACCCTAAATCTGGAAATTTTTACGTCGATTTATTTTTGCGAATTTGTGTCAGAAAGCTATAGATTAATTTTTATGCTTTTAATTTTTGCAAATTGTCATCACCGCTAAAAATAAAAATCACTGAGATAATTCAATCACTTTACATTTTGAGTGTTTGCTAACCTTCGGAGATCGTTTATTACACCGCTTCGGATATCGTTTATTATTGTCGCCTCTGGAAATAATTCTCATTAAATATCAATAAGATATGCTATAGAATATGTTTTCTAACTACAAAAAGATGTACAGTCTCGGGTCAAAAGTATTCGTAAAAAAATGGCGGCCTACTTTTTCACTGCCTTGGTTCGCTTCCCATTTCAGCGTCGTTCTTGACGCACAAATTAGAGTTATCCCTCCTACTACGTACAAATATACACAAGCACATGACAGATCACGTGGCTTTGTTATGACGTATTTTGTCGTCTGCAAATGTTTTGTTTCCAATTTCAAAACAAATGGGTAGAAAAGGATTTGAACTGTGTGCGTCTGAGAAAGAAAGTATTCTATCCTTGTCTAAAGCTAATATAAAGTTAAAGGAAATATCAGAGATAACAGGAAGACCTATATCTACAATATCCAGTTTTTTAAAGCGACAACAAAGACGTGTAAATACAGAAAACAAGGATCGAAGTGGCAGACCGCGTAAGTGTAATGTCCAAGGGGAAAGGCAACTTATTCGACTTGTGAAAAATAATCGTCGAAGAACTTTGACAGAATTAACGAATGTTACCAATGAAAATGGAGCTAGTAGACTGTCAGAAAGTACCGTGAAAAGAATTTTGAGAAAAGGGGGATATCGGAGGAGGCTTGTAAAGAAAAAACTTCGGATTCGTGAAGTCAACAAGAAAAAGCGAGTTAATTGGTGTAAACAATACAGACACAAAACTGTCAACTGGTTTTGGAATAATATAATATTCAGTGATGAATGTAAGGTGATGATTGATGGAGAGCAACGCGTATATGTGTGGCGGAAGGACGGCGAAGAATGGGACCCCCCTTGTGTTGCACCCCCTCCAGGACGGCGCCTTGATTTGATGGTGTGGGGATGTAAAACAGCTTACGCCGCCATTATTATTACGGTGTAGGTACTTTATGTGTTGTTGATGGTAATATTAATGCCGAAAAATATATTGAAATCATCGATAGCAATTTATGGCCTGTTGTAGCCAGGCATTTCCCTAACAATCAGTATATATTTCAAGACGACAATGCACCTGTGCACAGAGCAAGAGTAGTGAAAGATTTCGTGACTAGAGAGGGAATAACAACACTTGAATGGCCAGCCCAAAGTCCTGACTTAATTGCTGGAAAAAAATGAAACACGAACTTAATATAAATGTTCATAACTTGAGGACCAACGATGACCTTGCAGTAGCCGTTCGACAGGCCTGGGAAAACATCCCGCTTAAATTCATTCAAAGGCTATACCAGTCGATTCCAAGAAGAATTAAGGCAGTAATCAAGTCAAAAGGCTGTCTTACGAAATATTAAGGTTGGTGCAAATTGAATTAAGTTAAAAATTTGATGAAACTAAGGTGACCTAGTTTTGTTTACATCGCTGCCATTTTGTTTTTTTTACGAATACTTATGACCCGAGACTGTATCAAACTCAGGTGAATATATTTGGTCGCAATAACCTTCATAACACTCCCGACTTTTGACTAACGATCCGACTTTAAAATAATTTCTTTGACTACCGGTATTGGATATAAATCAAATATAGAAATAAAATTAGAACCATAGAAAAAATAAGTTTTCTTAAAAGAATTTTAAAAAAATAGTTTTATTAAAAAACCTGTGCAGCAATAAGAGGCAAATTAAAAATTAAACACAGCATTTAAAAAAATATGCATGAAATCATGTACTGTAACAGTTCTTAGGGCCTACAATAAAACGTACATGTATGATGAAATGCGTGTTTAAAAGATATTTAACATCATCAGGATGATTTTAAAACACAAAATAAAAGATGGTTTATGATTTTAAGATACAAAAGTTCGTACATGTTAAAACGATAGGCAGCTATCACACACCCAGTCACTTTAAAAATTAAATGAGAGTCCCAGTGCGTCAGAAATGCCTGCTTTCTTAAACCCGTTAAACACCTTTTCTGGATTTTGTTTTAGATAGGCGATGGATGAGTCGAGACACTTGGCACTTATAGTGGTTTTAGAACTGACATCCCTAGGTTTATTTCTAATTCACCCCCAGCTTGGAGTATGGTGGCCACCTTTTCCGCATACCACGTTTCGAATCGATCTCGCATATGATCCTTGACAATCTTCTGAACACTTAAATCCATATGTTGGAGTTCAGAGGTGTAGTTAGGAGGGACATACACATATACGAGTCCAACCTCTTTTATGCGGTCTCTTAATTCCTCTGACAGTTGCGCACTGAAAAAGTCTAAAATGATTAGGGCTTTTTGGAGCAGGGGAAGATTGAGCTTGTCGCGAAGTTTATTAACGTATGGTACGATGATCTTATCCAGGTAGCGGAAACTTGTGTCCTTGTTTGCCCAGTGGTTTTCAGTATGAGTAATGTCCAAGTCGTCGGGAAAGTTGTACTTGGCGTGGCAGGTATCCGTTTTCCCCTTGTAAATGACCTGTGGTGGCAGGATGTCCCCACTCAATGCCCCGGCCATAACACCTGTGTTAATTAAACGAACAAATATAGATTGAAGAAAAGAAATATGCTAATAAGCACGGTCATGTACAGATAGTATATCATATTTGAGAGGTGTATTTGATTTAATTATTTAACTTGTAAATTATTCCTGTCCTCGGCCAAAATTACCCCTTTTGCTATTGCACGGATGATTCTACTGTTTATAATTCCTCCAGCGTCGCGGATTTCTGTGACTAAGTCCTGGACTTTTTTGTCAAGGCTCTCACCCAACATAAGGGGCTGACCCCGTTTTTTCCTTGGGAGTTCCTCGACATCCATGTTAAGCTTTCTTTTCCGAACAGAGTTGTAGGTTTTCTTTAAATATCGAACAGTTGATTCTTTTAAATTTAGATCACCGAAATATTTCAATGTTTTGGGAGTCCCGTTTTCGTTTGCAAACTTTGCCACCTTGGCGCGCATTTCGTCACTTAAAACTGTATAATTTCCGCGTTTTCTCTTCTTGGGTGTTTCATTGTAGACTTCGTTTAGTTCTTCATTGACTAGTTGACGAGCAATGGAGTTGTCCGTGTCTGTGTTTAAAAGCACTGGCCTCTCTTTTTTTGTAAAATAATTTAAAATAGACATGATGTCTGTCAATCGAATATATCGATTGTGAGTGAAGCCGTTCTCCACAGGCCGGATTTAGAAACAGGTTTTCTTAATGAATACCAGTACGTACTACTTACGGACAACCGTTCACAGTGCTACATGTATGATTCGTGACTTGCCGTTGGGGATTTTTTGTTTACTTCTTTTTTAGCTCTACTGGTCAGAGACCAGAAGAGCTTATGTGATAGTAAGGTGTCCGTCGTCCGTCCGTCTGTCTGTCTGTCCGTCTGTCTGTAAACAATTTTTCAAAACGCTACTCCTCCTACAGTTTTAGTCTGATTTTAATATAACTTGGCACACAAGTAGACTACACTAAGATACATAAAATAGTGCATCGGATTTTGATTTGGATGAACGGTGTTGCCATGGTTACTAAAAATAGAATTTTCTCTGAAATTCCTTAAAATCCTACTCCTCCTACAGTTTTGGTCTGATTTCAATATAACTTGGCACACAAGTAGATTACACTAAGATACATAAAATAGTGCATGGGATTTTGATTTGGATGAACGGTGTTGCCATGGTTACTAAAAATAGAATTTTCTGTGAAATTCTTTCAAAATGCTACTCCTCCTACAGTTTTGGTCTGATTTCAATGTTATTTGGCACACAAGTAGACTTTACTAAGATACATAAAATAGTGCATCGGTTTTTGATTTCGATGAACGATGTTACCATGGTTACTAAAAATAGAATTTTCTGTGAAATTCCTTTAAAACGCTACTACAGTTTTGGTCTGATTTCAATATAACTTGGCACACAAGTAGACTACACTAAGATACATAAAATAGTGCATCGGATTTTGATTTTGATGAACGGTGTTGCCATGGTTACTAAAAATAGAATTTTCTGTGAAATTCCTTAAAATGCTACTCCTCCTACAGTTTTGGTCTGATTTCAATATAACTTGGCACACAAGTGGACTACACTAAGATACATAAAATAGTGCATCAGATTTTGATTTGGATGAACGGTGTTGCCATTGTTACTGAAAATAGAATTTTCTGTGAAATTCCTTTAAAACGGTACTCCTCCTACAATTTTGGTTTGATTTCAAAATAACTTGGCACACAAGTAGACTACACTAAGATACATAAAATAATGCATCGGTTTTTGATTTCGATGAACAGTTTTGCCATTGATACTAAAAATAGAAATGTCTGTGAAATTCCTTTAAAACGCTACTCCTTCAACAGTTTTGGTCTGATGGCAATGGCTTCTTTTCTCATCCTTTGTTATAAGTACAAACCAGTAGAGCTAAAGTCTCGACAGAGACTTCTGGTTTTATTCTTGATTAATTTTTAAGAAAAATATTTTTGCGAATGCATGGCACACGCAAATTTGCTAAAAATTTATCTACATTAAAAATTTCCAGATTTACGGTATTTCTCCGTTAAAGTTTGATTTGGGTGGCAAATATTGGTTATTACCAAATAAAGTCCTTAAGTTATATTAATTGATATGGAAACACTGTCAGAGTTTAACATATGAATAAACTATGTGGGAATATGTACTTTGTATTTCTCCTGCTAAACCTGCAACAATTATTTCCATACATGTACTAACAACCAAAGAATTCATTTTTTTAGCTCACCTGAGCCGTAGGCTCAAGTGAGCTTTTCTGATCACATTTTGTTTGTCGTCCGTCCGTCTAGCTGTCTGTCTGTCAGTCCGTCTGTAAACTTTTCACATTTTCGACTTCTTCTCAAGAACCACTGCACCAATTTCGATAAAACTTGGTACAAAGCATCCTTGGGTGAAGGGGAATTTAAATTGTGAAAATGAAGGGCCAAGTCCCCTCACAAGGGGAGATAATCAAGAAAAGACAAAAATAGGGTGGGATCATTAAAAAATCTTCTTCTCAAGAACCACTGGGCTAGAAAAGCTGAAACTTATGTGGAAGCATCCTGGGGTAGTGTGGATTTTAAATTGTTAAAATCATGACCCCCCGGGATAGGGCGGGGCCACAATGGGGAATCAAAGTTTTACATAGAAATATATACATGTAGCAAAAATCTTTAAAAGTCTTCTCAATAACAACTGGGCCAGAATAGCTGAAACTTATGTGGAAGCATCCTTAGGTAGTTCAGATTCTAAATTGTTAAAATCATGACCCCCGGGGATAGGGCGGGGCCACAATTGTGAATCAAAGTTTTACATAGAAATATATAGGAAAAATCTTTAAAAATCTTCTTCTCAAGAACCACTGGGCCAGAAAAGCTGAAACTTACATGGAAGCATCCCGGGGTAGAGCAGATTCTAAATTGTTCAAATCATACCCCCCAGGGGTTGGGCGGGGCCACAATGGGGAATCAAAGTTTTACATAAAGATATATGGGGAAAAATCTTCTTCTCAAGAACCACTGGGCCAGAAAAGCTGAAACTTATTTGGAAGCATCCCGGGGTAGTGTAGATTCTAAATTGTTCTAATCATGACCCCCAGGGGTAGGACATGGGCCACAATGGGGAATCAAAGATTTACAATGTTGAATCAAAGCATCCTATGGTAGTATAGATTTCAAATTGTTTAAATTATGATCAGTGGGGTAAGTTGGGGTCACAATATGTATTACAAGGGGGAAATCTGGTAAAAAACGGAATGTTCAAAGCTTCTCAGGTGAGCGATGTGGCCCATGGGCCTCTTGTTTTTATTCAGTTATGAATGAACTATTAAGTAAGTGAGGCAATTAGTGGATGCTTGGAGTTTCTTTAGTTAAAATACTTGTTTGTTTTAGAATACAAACAACCTAACCTCAATCTTAAGTATAGCAGCAGAGGCTAGACTTGAAGGAGGACAATATTTACTCTGGAATCAAAGTGTGAGTATATAGACAAACCATAAACTTAGAAATATTTGCACTGGTGAAATTTGTTTTAATTCTACAATTGGTAAAGTTTTGCAAAATTCCATGCATGAACAGTTTCTTATAAGCTAGGCACAATGGAAAACAACAAATTAACAAATTTTTAAGTATTTATGTTCCTTAACTTCTGGATTACTTAATACACCCCATGTAATCACTTTATTCCATGAAACTCCAGAATTACCGTATAACGGGTATTTTCTGCGGTTGTCCAATTTTTGCGGAATTTTGCGAATAGGACAAATCCGCAAAAAATTACAATTGCAAAATATCTTTAATATGCCTTCAGGTATTTTATACATGTAAGCATGATAATTTGTGTGTCTGCAATCTCATTCGTTGATGTGCCTTAATGCATGTGACATGTGTGATTTTGGGGTGGTTGATTATGCAACTGTTTGTTTTAGCTTAAAATGAAAATACCGATTTAATTTTGATTGCAATTATTTTACTAGGTGTAATTTAGATTATGGCTTGGAGGCATTAATTATCATTACATATATAGTTTAAATTATTAAAATTAATTTGATAGATCATATAAAACAAACGTCTGCGGTGTTAGAATACATAGTGTGGTACAAGTACCCTATATATACATGTATGTCTATATTATCATCGGGCTCGGGGTACCGAGCATCACTTTATAACCTAGATTCCTACACACAAAGACGCACGTTGTGCCAGGCTCCTCTCCGGCCTTTGTTGTGTATTCAGGTTTGTGGGTCAATAAATATCGTTAACTCTTGACGATTATATTCTTTTACTCGTCCCACGACATCTGGCGTCACCCGGACACGGATCTACAGTTTGTTTTTTTTATGTCGGTTGATTTGATTTCACCCGGCATTCTCACACGTGCTTTGTCAACATTGATTGATAAATTTTGATTCGTGTGTAATCATTTAATGTAGTTTATCGTGTTCTTCTTTAATATCTGAGCACTTCTGCTTCTTTAAATTTGGTTTTTGATCATTCAGTAAGAAATTTCATATTTTGTGGGTTCACCATTTTTGTAAAATACACGTGCTGGCCATCTTGGATTGCTACTTGAGCAAGACGGAAACACGTGACCGGAATTGTTCCTCAAAATCGAAAGTAGTTTCATTTTGAAAATCAATTTGTAAACAAATCGAATTTTGATTGGAATTTAAAGTTTTTGACAAGTGTTTTTATTATAACTCAAATTTTATTAATTGCATTTCGGTATATTATCTCTTTCGGGTCATTTACCTAGCCTGCTATATTTTTGGCTACAAAATTACCAAGAAAAAAAAAAAAGTTTGATTTAAGTTTCAAAATTTTTTTAGCTGTAGAGTAGGTGAGTGGGGTGGTAGACTCTCAGTTGCTATTCGAAATCTGTTACTGAAATAAAGGCATTCATTGACAAATACCTTTTGTGTGTCACGCATCCAGTAACATGGCTGTGAATGTTTACTCCGCCAGTGCACAAGAGTTGCGCACACTGGAAGGTGTTGGAGAAAAGAAAGCAGCCAGAATAATCAAGTTGAGAGACACAGAAGATGTTACCGAGGAAAAGTTAGCTGCTGAAATCCAGTTACCGATAGAAACAATTCAACAGTGGGTACAAGAAAACAAATTGTCTTTGAAGAAGTTACCAATGTCACTGCCAACGCAACAAGAGGATAGTGGTATGCCAGCTGAACCGACAACTCTTTCCGCTGAAGTTCGCCTGAGTAAGTTGGAAACAATTATTTTGCAACTGGGACAGTCCGTACAGTCAATTGCTGAGGATATGAAATCCTTAAAAGACTCGACATTAGCGGGAAATGATACAGTCCAAGAGCTACAGCAAGATATATCTACACAGGAGGCTGACAAAATGGCAATTGGTACCACAAGTAAGCAACATCAACAAAAACCTGTGCCAGAAAATCAGCAAGCAGATATCAACAAATTATTACATGCAATTCCTTCAGATGGCGTTTACCATTCAGCGACAAAAATGAGTACAGATAGCAAAACATTTACAAACATGAATTACCAGAAAACAAGTACACCTATTGCTAGTACCTCTGGGAAACCTGTACCTTTTCATACAGCATTGGATGCCTTGTCCCCCCTAAAGCCAATGAGCAGTATGTTGAATGCTAGTTCGACTCCATTTGTTCCATCGTATGGGAATCTGCAAACCACGGGAAAGCAATATGAAGTGAACAATGGCACGCAGCAAATTCCTAATGTTTCCTTAACCATGTCAACAATGCCCAGCATCAGTGTGGTGTCATCAGCCCCAATAGTGTCCAGTTTAGCTAGCACTACTGTGGGGCCAGTGGCTCCCGTAGCTGCACAAAGTCAAAACAAGTCATCGAAAAGAAAAAAGCGTCACCGATATAGATCTAGCTCCACTTCTTCATCAGATATGGACACTGCTGAGTTTTACAGTCCTGGTGGCACTAATGTTGAACATAGTACTGGAGGCCGTAGGGAAAGATCGCGAAGCAAAAGCCCAAATGCACCGAAGATGACTATCTTCAAAGGAACTGACTCACCAAATTTGGAGGCTTTCATCTACCAATTCGAAAGAACAGCTGCTAGACGACAGTGGCCAAACAACAAAAAGTTGTCTCGTTTGCTCGACTGTCTTGGGGATATTGCATTGGAGTATGCTCGCAGAGTTAATGTACATAACGATTATAACACCCTCAAGAAATATCTGAAAAGGAGATTTAGCACCAAAGAGGCACCTATAGTAGCACGCAGACAACTTCCCTATCTAAAGCAACAGGAACATGAAACATTAGAAGAATTTTCACAGCGAGTGTATTCCCTCACCCTAGATGCTTATGAGGAATGTGAGGGTGACATTATAGAAGAAATGGCAGTGGAGACTTTCTTAAGAGGTTGTAGGGAGAAAAGCGCTGCAAGACATGCAATGGATATGGAGCCTCATACCATCCACAAGGCACTGAAGTTTGTTAAAACTGCTCTTGCAAATGATAGGGCACTATTTGGGGGAAGGTCAAATGCTTACTTTCACCGACAAGTTACATTTGAGGATGAAGCGAAAAAGACCACTGCTGCAGAATCTCCAGATAAATTGCAGAATCAAATTGACAACCTTACTAAGGCAATTGAAACTCTAAACACAAAGCTGAGTATGCCAAACAGATATTCAGGAACTGATGGCAGACAAGAGCGATTTAGGTCACCAAGCCCGGCTTTTAGAGGAAGAAGTCCAAGGAGATTTTCAGATGGCCCACAAGATCAAAAGCTTTTGGACCGTAGTCAGAGCCCTTCACGTCTTCCATATAGCCAACAGGATAGGTCAACAAGTCCCAAGTATGGTGGAGAGAATGGGACATCTGCGCCTTACTATCAGCAGCGCAATACCCATTCTCAGAGTAGGGCATCCTCGCTCTCACCTGTGAAAGGGGGTAGTGCTAAGAATGAGGATTTAAACACCAAAGGACCAGGTCGACAGGCCTAGATCTGGTCCACGAAAGGAATGGCCAAGCTTTTGATGCCAAGATAAGGAAATCTAAAGGAAAAAGCCTAGTGGTAGATGCAAAGTTTAACAATACTCCATTGAAAGCTGTTATAGACACTGCAGCAATGCTGACACTGGTAAACAGGAAGTACATTGAAAATCAGAGCAATGACCATGAGACTGTAAAACTTAGGGGCATAGGCGGACATACTATACTAGGGTTTAAACTCTGTAATCAAACATTGCATATTGGCCCACTTTCCTTCTCATGGGACTTCTGCGCTGTTGCCATGGATGATGACATCATTATAGGGCTAGATTTTCTAGAGGCCCATCATGGAATAGTGGACCTCAAAAACAAGACGCTTTCCTTAAATGGTAGCCTCATTCCTACGGAATTGAGTAAGGACAAAAATTCCAATACCAATCAGGTCTCCAGGGTCACCTTGCTTTCAAGTCAAGCTATTCCTCCAAACACCATATCCAATATACCAGTTACATTAGAACGGAGTCTTCCCGCGGAGTATATTATACAGCCTATTCAAGATAACAGGGGACTCTTAAGCTCAAGTGTATTAGGAAGGGGGGAGCAGACCTTGATGCAGTTTATAAATGACACCAACAAATGCATTAAGTTGTCAGGAGGGAAGTGTGTAGGTTTTGCACAGACTCTTGGTAGTGGATACTTAGTTGACCCTCCCTTGGATGATGAGGCTGGTATCAGAAGACTAGACGTCAGGACGGCCAGTGACTTAACTTTACCGGACCATCTCATAGATCTATTCGAAAGGTCTGCAAAAGATCTCAATGGAAATGAACAGAAAGAATTAAAGATGCTGTTGGTAGAGTTTGAAGATGTGTTCGCCAAGCATGATTTAGACCTTGGTTGTTTAACCGCAATCCAACATCATATTGACACTAAGGATGCCAATCCAGTTAAGCACAAAATGCGTCGAACACCACTTGGATTCCAACACCAGGAGGAAGAACATCTAAGAAAAATGCTTGAAGCGGGTATCATACAGCCATCAAGTTCAGAGTGGGCCTCGGCACCAGTTCTCGTGAAGAAGAAAGATGGAAATGTCAGATGGTGCATTGACTACCGTGACTTAAATGGTGTTACTGTCAAAGATTCATTTCCTCTACCCATCATAGAAGATTGCCTAGACACGCTTCAAGGAACCAAATTTTTCTCAACTTTAGATATGGCCTCAGGCTATTACCAAGTTGAAATCTCAGAAGAGGATCGCAAGAAGACCGCATTTATTACTCGCTATGGCCTTTTTGAGCATACCAGGATGGGAATGGGTCTTTGTAATGCTCCTGCCACCTTTCAGAGAGCAATGCAGTTAGTACTCAGGGGGCTAACCTGGAATCAGGTACTGGTTTATTTGGATGATGTTATTGTGTTGGGAAAGGACTTTGGTAATGGACTGGCTAATTTAAGGACAACACTGCAACGATTTCGAGAACACTCCCTCAAGCTAAAGCCAAAAAAGTGTGACCTCTTTCGTGCTGAAACAGAGTTCTTAGGGAAAGTTGTTAGCTCAAAGGGAATTTCTATAGCTCCATCAAAAATAGAGGCCGTAAAGGCCTGGCCTCATCCAAAAACTCAAAATGAAGTTTTAGCCTTTCTGGGTTTTCTCAATTATCATAGAGATCATCTTAAGGACTTTGCCTCACTGTGCACATGTTTGTATGATCTAGCTCACACAAAAGGGACTTTCTCATGGGAGAAGAAACACGAAGAGGCTTTTTCATGTGCAAAGACTGCGTTGATTACAGCTCCTTGCCTATCTTATCCTCGCCCGGAAGGTTTATTCGTGTTGGATACTGACGCTTCAGATCATGCCATAGGTGCAGTACTTTCACAAATCCAGGATGAGAAGGAGACCGTTATCTGCTATGCAAGTCATGTGCTCCTGAAACCGCAGAGGAAATACTGTACAACAAGGAAAGAGCTTCTAGCTGTGGTGAAATTCTGTCGGCATTTTAGCCATTATTTGTTAGGCAGACGATTCTTGGTTCGCACTGACCATAACAGTCTTGTTTGGCTTATGCGGTTTAAACACATCGAGGGTCAGCTTAAGCGTTGGTTGGAAGAACTGGCACAATTTGATATGGAAATCTTGCATCGCCCAGGAAATAAACATACCAATGCTGACGCCATGAGTCGACTCCTGGATAATGGACTTACATGTGACTGCTATGTTGCGGGTTCTTCACCTGAAAGTCTTCCTTGTGGTGGATGTCATTACTGCGTTTGAGCTCATAACCAATGGTCGCGGTTTGCCGAGGATGTAGATGATGTTATACCATTAGCAAGGAGATGTATTCCGATAAGCAACAGTCAGGCAGAAAATGCAGATGATGTCTTTAATATCTTTGCAGCCAAACTACAGGATGATCACTCTTCTCCAGTATCCTGGGTTAAGGGCTATTCAGCTGAGGACATTGCCTGCATGCAGCGGAAGGATGCAGACATTGGCATAGTTATAACTTGGCTTGAGAATAAAGAAGATCCCACAAAGTCACAACTTCATTTAGAAAGCCCTGCAGCTAGGGCACTTTGGCTATTTAGAGAATATCTTCACATTAAGAATGATGTACTGTATTATGAGTGGATAGATAAAGTTGACAGGAGAGTCTGCCTTGTGGTGCCCACCAGTCTCAAGAAAACAGTTTTGGAGTTATGTCATGACACTAAGACTGCAGGTCACCTGGGTCAACAGAAGACTTACAGTAGGGTCAAACAGTCCTTTTACTGGCACAACTTATCACAAGATTGTATAGAGTATGTCAAAGGATGCAATAACTGTAATCAAAACAAGAAGCCTCATATAAAACCGAGAGCTGCCCTAAAGTCGTACCATGCAGGCTTCCCTATGGAACGTGTCCACCTAGACATTTTGGGTCCATTCAATACCAGTGAGGCTGGGAATAACTACATATTAATGATGATAGATCAATTTACTAAATGGATTGAGATGGCAGCACTTCCAGATCAAACCGCATTGTCTGTAGCACATAAGTTTGTAACCCATTTTATTGTCACACTTGGGTGCCCTATGGAAGTGCATACTGACCAAGGTCGCAATTTTGACAGCAACTTGTTCCAAGCATTGTGTGATAAACTGCAAATAGCCAAGACCAGAACCACCCCTTATCATCCCTCTTCAAATAGACAAGTCGAGAGGTACAACACAACAGTTCTTCAAATGATAAGATGTTTCATTGAGAAAGACAACAAGAATTGGGACAGGGATTTACCACTTCTGGCTATGGCTCTGCATTCAACTGTACACAGACAGACAGGATATACACCAAATAGACTAATGCTTGGTAGGGAAGTTATCCAACCAGTACATCTGATCACTGGTAACTTGCCAGGTAACCTGTCACCGCAAAATGCAGATGAATGGAGTGCTGATCTTGGGCGTCGACTTGCAGATGCACATGCTTGTGCTCGTCAGAACCTGAAACAAGCACAACATAGACAAAAACGTGATTATGACCAGCGAGTCGTGGAACACCACTATAACCAAGGTGATTTGGTTTACAAAATTGACTCTACCACTAAGGTTGGCCAGTCACAAAAGTTGAGGTCTCCTTGGGCTGGTCCTTACTTGGTTGTTTCCTGTAGACCCCCGCTATACACAATTAGGGACCGGAAGAAACAATGTGTTATCCACCATGACAAATTAAAGCTATGTCAAGACAGGGAAATTCCTGCATGGCTTCGTAGACTGAGGCATCATTACTTCCAGACCGACAATTTTGGTAGTCAGAAACTGACAGATATGGATAGTATTTGCAGTTCCTTGACAGAGCATGAACCTGACTTAAGTGAATCAGGCTTAGAGTCGGAGAACCTTGATAACAGTCTGGTCGAATATGACAACTCTGATGAGACTTCTCATCAGACCAGATCAGGGAGGATGTATTCTGATGAGGAGCTAGATGAGAGTAAGTTTGTTCCAGACTATAATGAGGACCTGACGCCTTCCCAGAGCAGCCATGATGAAGTATGGTCAACAAACACAAGCAGCCTTTGTTCAGCGGATCTAATGGTACTGGATGAAGTTCGTTCTTCGTCGGATGAGGTTGAAGCCGCAGCAACATCAGGGAACCAAGCTTGTGATGACAGATCTGCTAGACAGGAAAGGGCATCCTATCACTGCCCCTTATGCAATATTAGCCTGAGCGGCCATGTCAAACGGCATGTTCAGCGAATCCATCTTCCACCGTTCTGGAGTGGTGTCGAGGATCTGCCATTGAGGGATGCTAACCAAAGTGGACCTGGTTCTTCTCAGGCGCTCTCATTGGTAGGGCAGTCCGAAGACCATGGTCTTCACACTTGGTGTAGTTTGGTGCATGGGTCGTTGCGTCTCCTGGGAGACTGGGTGGGAGCCTCAACTTTAGAACAGTTACTGGACTTCATCATTGAGCGTCGCTTATACCCAACTGCTGGTGGATTTACAGACACAGAGCATGGACTTATGTCTTTTTATGCAGATAATTACAGTAGTCATGTCCCATGCAGGTTTGAGGCTTCGCCGCCCAATCATGTAATCTGCCTCATTCATTGGCAGATTATCTGCACCTTCTTGCGACAGTTTCCCCCAGAGAAACACCACGCATTTCGGACTTGGAGGCAGTCGTGTGACTTGAGTGCTTATTCAACCTCAGACGTTCTCTTTGTTGACTCTCATTTCCATCTGGATCAGTTGTTTGCAAGAGGCATTATCTCGGATTGCAGTGAGATTTTTTCTTTTCCAGATAGTCTCCGTCATTTCAGCCTGCTATATGCCGTGGCAAACTATGTTTTTCCCAAGCACTGGCCTCTGTGGAGAAGCCAGACCAGTAGCCACCAACAGATACGGCTGTCATTTGGAATCCACCCCCACCTTGCTGGCCAAGTTACCCCAGATATCATATCTGAGCTTGGGAGGCTTGTGTCATTGCCAGAGTGTGTGGCCATTGGAGAAATAGGAATCGACTTGACCACCACCTGCAATTGCCCACAGCCATGCTCCAGATCAAAATGTAAGGGAGCTGTACTTCAGAGCCAGACAGAACTGCTTTCAGAATTATTGGTCTTGGCTAGGGAGACAAAGAAGCTGGTTATATTTCATTGTAGGGATGCAGGGACAGGTGAGGCCGCCAGACATGTGCTGCTTGCTATAAAGATGTTGGATATGGAAGGCCACATATTCCACCGACACTGTTTCACCGGGTCAGTTGGCGAGGCCAGGGATTGGATGAAGAGGCTACCTTCTGTGGTATTTGGTATTTCAACCAAGGTTTTTTTGGACAGGAGCATACAAGATGTTGTCCGGTTCCTTAGTCTCGATCGCATTTTGCTGGAGACTGATAGTCCTTACCTTGCCGATGGACCTAAGGCTATCATCAACATTGCTGAGGAAGTCGCCCGGTTGAAGGGAATATCATTGCGGGAAGTGTTGCATGCAAGCAGGAGGAACGCAGCTCGAATTTATGAACTTTAATTTTTTTTTCTCAGATGGACTGTTGAAATTAACCATGTTTCAAAATGTACAAATTTAGTTTTCTATTTCAGCTTCAATGTTTTAAAAGCTAATTTCTGATTGTATATCTTTAAATTATATGTAACAGTTTTTTAAGGAGGGGAGGAGTGTGGTACAAGTACCCTATATATACATGTATGTCTATATTATCATCGGGCTCGGGGTACCGAGCATCACTTTATAACCTAGATTCCTACACACAAAGACGCACGTTGTGCCAGGCTCCTCTCCGGCCTTTGTTGTGTATTCAGGTTTGTGGGTCAATAAATATTGTTAACTCTTGACGATTATATTCTTTTACTCGTCCCACGACAATATTTTAATTGCTGTTTGAGTGGATTAGTACTGTTACAACAGTAATTATTTTCAATTGGGACTATAGGCATAATTTTACAAAGAGTAACTAAAATCCAGTAGTTTAATTAAGTTTAATACAGTATACCTGTTCTCATGCACCTTTCATTCATGTGCCTGAATGAATTTACAAAACGTAATCATGGCAGTGTTCTTATATACTGTACCCCATAAATAATTTTTGCGGTATAGTGCAACCGCAAAAATTGAAAACGCAAAAATTAATTTGCTACCTTTTAGGGGTTAAATCGCAAAAATTTCCAACCGCAGAAAATACCCGTTATACGGTATATCCACATTTACAGAATACAGAGATACGGAAATCAAACTTGATGTTGATTCAACTTGGATCAAGCTTTCAAATTTAGAAATGCTTATTAGTCCAGTCAATCTAGCTCAAAAACACCCAAACCTCAAACAAATTGCAACTGAAATTATTCCAGTGGAATTTTGTTACATGTATTTATAATGTGCCTTTTGATATATCAAAACTCTAGAAAAATATATTTGTCCAAACATCATTTTTTTTCGATTATCAAAAAACCCGATATTTGTTCAAAAATGCCAATAAATCTCTCTTTGAATAGACATTCTGTTTATGCATAAAAATAGTTTTGCCAGGAATATGATCTTGAATATTTTGGACAGTCATGCAGAAATGCGTCTGCAAACTGAAACCGGTGATTATTTCATTAGTTGCTATGGATTCCTGTTCCCATGGCAACAGAAATAATAGAAAAATAAAACCTTTCCAATTCCTAAGTACGGCAATGTGCAGGGACAAAAATATGTGCTATAATAGGAATGAATTAGTATAGTATTAATTTATTAGTGAGGACCTAAGATAATTTTTTAAAAAGTTATAGGGGATAATGTAAGCACAGACATCCAATATTTTTTTTCATGTGGGTGGGTGGGGGGGGGGGGGGGCATCAAATCTCGCAGATGGTAAGGCTCCAAATTTTTTGACATGCAAAAATAAATAAATAAACAAGTAATAAAAATTTAAAACAAATAATAAAATAAAATAAAAAATTAATTAATTACAAGGGATATGCGATTTAAATATCGATATACCGGTACATTGCAATTTTTTTTGGGGGGGGGGGGGGGTACCGGTATTTAGTCCAAAAGTTATTCTCTTATTTATTCAACCTTTCAAATAAGAATTAAGGAAAGCCTTAAAAAAAATGTAAAAGGTGAAAAAAACGGCACCTTACCATCCAAACATGATTAATTTTATGTAGATTAAAATTTCAAAAAAGTGAAAATTTGTTTTTCTAGCATATTTTAAAGAAAAATAATATCATCTAAACTCATTGTAAAAATTGCTTGTAAAATATCATGATATCATCGTGATAATTTTGGGGAAAAAATACTGATATACATCGTGAAATGGAATTTTTGGCGATATTCATCCCTGTATAAGATTACCTCAAACTTCAAAACCTCTTTCAGGGGATGGGGTGGTCTATTTTTAAAAGGTAAATGACTTCTTGACATTTTAATGAGCCCTTGGGAATGGGTTCATGGACATTACATACCGGAAGAACCTTTTAATTCTAAAAATTTCAGAGGGACGGGGCTCTCCCCGACATATCTACCTTTATAGCAATGCATATGCATGGGACATTCATTCGAAATACCGGTATGTTGTATCTATAGTTAAGTAAAACATGAACAAAGTATTAAAAGTCAGATACTCCCATTGTTTTATTTGAAATGTTGAAGATATAAAAGAAAAAACCCATAAAATCCACTGAAGATGCCATGGAATCCCTAAAAATGCATTAATGATTATCTTGAAACTAGAACTGGTTCCTCAATATATAGTATCCGAATTGCATCTCACTGTTTTCAATATAATGTCCATTGCTAGGTTTTATATTCTTTTGGATTTATTTTGTAATCTTGTGTGTAATGGTGGGATATCACATTATTAATTAAGCTCTTGGCACTTGAAGTAAGCATTGCAGGTCTTCAGGATGAGAGTGTTTCATGTTACATGTAGTCGTTGACATGCTCAAATTGAATGGCCTTAAGCACCCAGTAAAAGTCTAAATGTCTAAATTTGAAGCCCTTTGGTACATGTATATGGTGAAGTTTTTATTTAAGCAAAAAGTTCTCGAGCAGGGAGTAAAACATCACAAGATCAAGCAATCTGGGTCCTTTGGATGAGACCTATAAACCGAGGTCCGAGTAAAGGACAAAATTTGCAGCTCTCCACTTGCATGTGCATGGTGGCGTCTCCACTGTAGTGAAAAATTCTCAATAGGGATGTTAAACAACAGTCAAACAAACTAGTGCTATTTATCTATGACATTGAGTCTTTCTTATGACAATTAAAATTTTCTATGCAGTTTTAAACGATAAATTCTACTTATTGTGATAGGAAAATAGTACATGTATTTTCAATAACGTTTCCTATATACATTTATATGTATGCATGTGTATTGTATAATTTTTATTTAAGTAAAAAGTTCTCGAGCGGGGTGTAAAACAACATACTATCAACCGATCTGGGCCCTTTGGATGAGACCTATAAACAGAGGACCCACGAAAAAAATCCCTCAGTCCTCTGTAATTTGGATAAGTTTAAAATACATGTATTGCGTAGTTTTAAAAAGCAAAAATGTTCAAATCTATTACAATATAGGATATGTTTTAAAAAATATATGAAAATCTTACAATGCGGCCTATTTCAAATACTTCCCATGAAATGAACTCTTGTGTGATCCTACTTGGCTCCACTGTTATGTTCAGAAATAACCAGTAGCAAAATGTGAATCAAAGTGATTCATAATGTTTAAGAAATAAGTTTACAAATAACAAATACAGTAAAATAAACTTTACATAATGAGCACCATTGCAGTACTAAATACACACACACACACAAGTCAAGAATAAGGCCATCTTTAAAATAATATGTGTTTAATGCAAATAAACAATTTAATAAACAAGTAATGCTTCTCCAGACGCAGGGTAAAATTATTTGAAAAATCCCTTTTCCAGAAAATTTCAACATATTTGTTGATGAAAAAAAAGGTATAAAAAAAAGTTTCATGTTCTGGAATGTATAAAAAAGTTTTGAGGCGGGCCATTTAAGTCAGTCGGTCGTGAGAGGGCAACCAAACATTTTTTAATGCATGTATTTTTACTAGTAAAGTAGATCTCACTAATAGAATCAATATTCTCAAGGAAAAAAAATCTATAAACAAAGTCAATTAAATTAAACAACAATATTATTAAGAAAATAAGCCGACCCGAGTTTGAAGTAACATGGAATTAACGTGAATTAAAAATTAATATATATATTTTTTAACTTTCATTTGCATTGATTTAATTTATAATTCTTTTCTAAAATAATTAAGGTATTCCGCTCAGGCGGAAGACCTTTTACTGATTCTGATGGTTAAGATTATTCCTATTATTCTTTTTTTTTTTTCCTAGACGCCAACTTTGAGACCTCGTAACTCATTCATTTCTTTCTTATTATTTTGCTCAAATTTTCAGAGTTTTTGGACGTTACAAAACTCAATTTAAATGTTTTCATACATGTCAAAAATTCCCTTCCGCTTTTGAGTTGTTTCCCTTTAAATGAAAATTTAGTGCTGTTTGTTTCCAGACAAAGGCTCAGAAACGACAAAAGCTAGAGCAGAATGTCTACTGCATTTAAATACTAGAAGAATTGAAGTTGTGCACATGGGTTTTTCTTTTTCGATTTCTGCGCTCAAAACGGTGCTAGATAGGGGTCAAAAATAAGAATGCCTAAAAGCGCAAAAATTTACATCTATTTCCTTATGTATCTTTTAAACTAAAAATAATTTGTTAAGACATGTTGAACAAATATTGTGCATAATTTTAAGCTCCATCATTTGACATCATTAAAAAGGGGCTGGCCCCTCAAATTAGGGGTCAAGGGCGCTCGAAAGTTTTTGCTTTACAACTTAAAAACGGTAAATATTTCGATATGGTTATCGATTTGAAATGGGTTCTTTAACATCTTATTGATCTCATGAAAACGTTATTTTGTTCAAGTCATGTGTTATTAGATGAGGAGAAAACTTTATAGTCCATGTACAGGTAAGTGATTTTATACGGCAATTGAAGAAAAATTCTATATGCGTACGCGTATAACACGTATAACTGAAATTAATTGGATAAGAATAATAAACCTAGCTAAATTGAATGTTAAACTTTGTTGAAATAAGATTTTTAACGAATTCTCTAGCTGGATGTCATACAGATTATTCAGAGACAACTCTCTCCCTGTGTTTAGTTAAAAGAACAAGACGGGAGAGAGGAAAAATACTTTTTAAGTATTAATATTTAATGTAGCATTATTTATTTTAAAAAAAAAATAAAATTCGAGCTTAAGATAATTCACTGTCATTCAATTCATGCATCGTGAATTTTCCTTGGACCCTGAAAGTTTCGTGTGTACAGTGTGCGTGTTTTGTGTGTACAGTTATCACATGGTTCTGAAACCCCTTTATCGATCGCGTATTGACCTGTATACATTAGTGAGGTCAACATTACCGCTCTTTGATTTTTACTAGAGTCCTAGATTTAAGATCAAGAAAATATGTCATTTGCGCTAATCGTAA